CATCTGTTTTCCTACAAATGACATAATTTTATCCCTCTTTATGGCTAAATAAAACCCCATTATGTATATATACATACATTTTCTTCAACCATTTATCCGTTGCTGGGCACCTAGGCTAATGATTCCATAGCTTGACTGTTGTGACTAGTGCTGTAATAACCGCTGCAGGTGTCTCTGTAATATGCTGCCTTGGATTCCTTTGGGCTGATTCCTAGCAGTGGTACATTCACAAGTGACTGTCTCAGTGTCACAGTGACAGGAATGTCCTCTGAGCCCGATGGAGAACTGAATGCGTGGGCAGGCATGCAGGTTGTTTATGACAAATCTGTTCCAACATCCCCCTAAGCCTTTTTATTCTTTCCTCTGCAACACACTAAGGGAGTTCTGGCATTTCCATATTACTAGACAGAGGTCATCACATCACTAGATCCTAGCTGATAAGTAAACTGCAGTGCCACCTCCTGCTACCTGAGCCCGACCCCGAGTCTAGAATCTCTGGTCAGGGCATCCGGGTCAACAAATGTGACTCCATATTCCAGATGTTATCCTTGCCCTGTTCACATGTCTTGTGCCTGTTGAGACTCTGGGAGTCAGGGAGTAGATCTCCGGGAGCAAAGCGTCCTTGTCAGGCAACTGCCAATGGGACCTTACTGCAAGGTCCTCAGTAAAGACGGGCCAGGCAAGCTTCCTCTAGCAAGGGAGGCTTCTGCTTCTTCAGAGTCCACATCGATATCCCTATTTCAAGTCTCAGGCACTCACCCTTTCCAAAGTGATGTCCCGACTTTGACACAGGACATTGGCAAGGCCGTGGATTCAGCTTAGGTTGTGATTACGCAGCCAACACAATTCAACTGCATCAGCCATTTTCAGCAATACTGGCCCTGCAGCTAAGAAATACAATTCTTACTTGCTCTTTTCATAAATAATTTAAGTGATTATTGGAGCTTATTTCTAGTGAGGCTTTCTGGCTGCTTGACTGTGGCCCATCTTTGAGGGCTGTTTCCTGGGACCACTCCCGATCTCCATTAATGTCCTTATCATATAATAGACAGAATTTAGTGGAAGAAATTGTTAGCTAGGTAAGTCGAAGGAAGCAGCTGCCATCCTCAGGGATAGAACAAAGGGAGACTGGAATAATTTCAACTTAAACTCCCAGAAGAGGAGACCCTTGGTGCTGAACCCCACCCCTTTGCAGAGCCATGCTGCCCAGCTGATAGGAGTGTCCCTGACCTTGCAGAAGGGACACTGTGAGGCTGGGGTAGTCTGCTCTGACTAGGGCTGGACTCCAGACGACCATCAGTACAGGAAGAGCCTGACGATCTCTGCTCAGCTCTCAGCCCCAGCAGTCGCTCTGTGCCAGGCCCTGGTCCTGCTCTGCATTGGTACTGTAGAGAGTCAACCAAAGGGCTAAGAATTCTGGGGTTCCCTCTTTGCAGCTCCTCCCTCATTTATGCCCCTGCTCTCCTAAAGCCTTGTTGCCCCAACTCTAACCTCTGACCTCTTCCATCCAGACAGACCTCTTGGGCCTGCTTGAGCCACCTCTCTGCACTGTGGCCTGGAACAGATGCCCAGAGAGTAAACTGTGTGCCTCCTTGCCCTAATACAGCCCAGTCCAGGGCCTGTCTCATTGTTTTATCCAACTTTCCAGCAGGAAGAGGTCTCTCCTGTGGCTCTTTTGTCAGCTGCTCAGAATGCCCATCTTTGCAGAAGTCTGCATCTTGCTGTGTTCACTGCATACATCATTGAAGCCAATCATGCCTCTTAAGACTCCTGCACATCATTCCTGAGACTTCACTCTGCTCTGTAGTGGTCCACTAGGGATCAAAAATCACAGCGAGGCCTTCCAGGATGGACCTGAGGTTGGGCTGTTGATGAAAGACCTCCCTTGCTTGAACTCCCATGGGACAGGAACACCTGTCATCTCTGGGCCTATGGGATGAATGAACGAGTGTACACGAATCCTCTTTGGGCCATTATTGGCCTCCCCTTGTGTTTGTGCCTTGGCCCTGTGTGTAGCAGAAAGTCACATCCATTCCTGCTGTTTAGTCACTACCCAGATGTCTGGGGTCTCACCATCTACCCCATTCCCTTCCCTATCTGGAGAGCTCACCCCCAACATATACCATAATCCTGTGGGGGCCCACGGTGTTAGTGGGCCCCCTGAGAAGCATACTGCACACTATAACTAACTGTGCTAGACTGTGGACTTGGGGTAATTTTAAAAAGAGACAGAGCTGATCATCTTCAAAGCCTGGCATGTTTTCCCCACCCAGACACACTCACACTTTGATGCCCCAGGCTCAGGGCTGGAAAATGAATCCTTTGCTTTAATTCTCAGGGTCATTATGCATACATAATGCTTTCCCTACCATTTAAAAGGAATGTAGATCGTATGTAAATGCGCCTCTGTGGAATTGTATATCCCAACCCGCATTAAGCAAGCACACATGAATTTCATAGTTACATCATTCAGTTCCTGCTCCCTCAGTGTCTGCATAAAAAAGCAGACAAATTCTTTTCTGTATACATTTGCCATGTCTGGTTCCCCCCTGGCCTCAGAGCCAGGCTTTGGACCTCCTGATGGTTCATTTTGAAGGGTTTTCAGAACCTTAGGGTCTTCCACCTCTAATGCTTTGATTCCTTCAGTGATGCTCCTCAATATTCACCCTTGAACTCTTCCACCGAAAGGGCACCTACTCATTCTGGAGCAGACTACCCTCTGCTTGGACAATGAAGAGCCATTAGAAAGCATGGTGTTACTGGAAGACTGTCCTGTCAGGCGGGGAACAGTTTATCGCTTCCAAACCTGCTTTGTTGCATGAACATGGTGTTTCCTTCACAGCATTAAGCAATCTCTCCCTTCCCTCTCTCTCTCTCTCTCTCTCTCTCTCTCTCTCTCTCTCTCTCTCTCTCATACTCACATGCACATATGCCATTACACAGACACGCATTTTATAATGACCAGCTTACCAAGCAATATATTATAAACATCTCTGCATTTCCATGAGCCTACATCTTGCTCATTTTTTTATATCTATCTAGTCCTCTATTGTCAGATGGGCCATAATTTACTTAATCAGTGCCTGCCCATGGGCAATCAGATTGTTTCCAGTTTTTTTGTTGTTGTTGTTTTTTGTTGTTGTTGTTGTTGTTGTTGTTGTTGTTGTTGTTGTTGTTTTTGATGCAGTGGTCGACTCTGGGATAAAATCTTCAAGTGGAGCGATTGTTTTCTTAGGAAAGAGTCACAGATGGGATTAGGGGGTCGAGGGGTGTGGGCCGGTTAAAGGGCCATTTCAGGTGAAGCCGCAGTCTCTGGGAGGAATGGAACCTTAGTGCTGTCCATGTGCTGAGAACTTTCCTGCAGTCTCCTCTTTATTCCTAGCCATTTCCCTCCCTTCCCCAAGGTACTCTGCTCTAGATGCCCAGTGCAAGGTAAGAGGTCGAGTACCTGGCCAGATGGTTCCACTCTGCTCACCACATAAAGCGGCCTCCACAGGGGCTTCTTTCAGGGATAAGGACCTCACCCAGAAGTCTGCAAACTGGGCAGGAACTGGGCTAGGAAAGGAAAATGTATGCAACTCATGAGATGTGCAGGATTTCGTCCTGGGCACTGAAAGGCTTTCTGCATCTCTAGAGTAAGCCAACAATATACAAGAGAGCGAACTGTGAGTAGTAGGTGATGGCTCCTGGGAAGCCTGGTTGGTAAGCTCTTTCTCTCTTTTGGGTGGGTGTATTCCGCTAGCCACACATTACCATTAAGCGTCCAGTGATAAGGCCACTTCTGTCGGGGATGAGGTGCTCAGAGCCTGGCTGGGAGCCTGTATGAATAACCCACAGCAAGAAGCTGTCTTTCAACATGCTTTACTAGCTAGGCCATAAGCACACTGACACTGGTTCTCTGGGACCCCATCCCAACACTCTCAGTAGCCAAAGGAAAGAACACAAGTTGTTAAATATTGTGCATTTGTACATCTAAATACTGTGTAAAGTGTAACATCAAGTGTAACATCAAGACTGATCTACACAAAGATACATCACTGTGTCTGGTCACCACAAGGCCCCTGTCAACCATTAGGTGTATGGTTAAGAAACACCCCTGAGAACACACACCCTTTTCACCTGTGCTCCCATTCTTTGGACGTGAGACTGGATTTCAGAGATGATAAAAGGCGGGAAACCTGAAATTCTGTAGGCAAAAAAAACCAATTGCGAAGTCGTGCATACAGCACTCTGCAGTGCTGTGTCAGTGGGTGACTGGGCTATGTGCTCACCCACGCTTGTATGAGCAGAGAAAATTCCTAAAAACATAGCCAAACCTAATAGCCAGAGCGGCCACTGGGAGCAGAGCCTGGGGAACTGGGATTCGAGCCCAGAGAGGAATCTAATCATCCATTTCTAAAATCTGACATCTTAAACTAGAGATTCCCTTTACCAAACAAAACTGGAAAGATGACAGAATAAAATAAGGCATCTTGGTGGGACAATTGAGAGTCATGGTATTTGAGATTGGCAGACAAGTTGTCGTTTGGACCGGGCTGGGTGTCCCCCCACCCTCCACCCCCGAGCTCAATCAAAAGCCGCAGAGTTGTTCTGGAGACTTCCCCGCAG